GCTGCTGCACAAACGAGGATTTGCTCCGGAGCAAATATTTAAACCACCTCCCTGAGGTGGGTTAAACTTGCTCCGGAGTAAGCTGTTTTCCGAGGCTACACCGGTGTAACTTTGCACGTGTGAACGCTCAACTGGGGCAGCGCTGGCGCAGCACCGGAGCAAATCTTGCCGTGAGAACACCCCTAGTGACCACATCAATATCATGTACAAAGAACTCTCCCTGTGTGGTCTGCATTTTCATGTCACTTTTTGTGACACTTATTCTTAATGGACAATTTTGGTAAGGAGAAAAAAATAAAATAAAGTTAAAAAATAAATAAATAAGAAAAAATAAAGTTGTACTTGACTTGAAAAGAGCAGAAAATGTCAGCTTACTCTGATAAAAGACTCTTATTCAAAGCATAAATGACTCAGGCGTTGTCTGACCACTTTCGTCCAGCATTAATTGTTTTGTGTCATAATCCACTGGTGAGAGGACATTTTGATTCGCTCCTCTTTCATCTATAACTGCTTCAAACAACAAAGTGTATGCAGAAAAAGTGGTTGAGATTGCACGACTGTCTGTCTTATGTTGTGTTGTATTAATTTGTCATTTTATGTTAACTGTTCTTTTGATGGCGGTGCGGGCACCCGCAGCAGCTCCTCTCTCTCCTGTCGTTGAGAGGAATGAAATTTCATCTGTGCTGTATGTTGCACATGTAGCACATTTGACAATAAAATTGACTTGAACTTGAACTTGATAATTATTATGGATCATTGGCAGGCGATATGTGGATTGCAGTTGTTTCTTTTAAGCCATGATTAGAACTGCTACGCTCTTTGTTGTGTAGGTTCATGTTTTAGTCAGTACCTTTTGCTTTATATGTGTATCGACCATCATATTGAATGTTGATTTGAGTCGTCGTGACTGCTGGTGTGAATCTGATGTGTGTGATGTTGAACAATAAAGGAGCAACGAGTGAAGCTGAGGACTGCTCTGACTGATCAGAACTCTAATTGATGTACACATAATTGCGCACAATGCTCTGAGCACATCATTAGGCATCCAACCGTTTACCTGTGCGTCCCTGTCATATTCTGCCATTATCTAATGCATGTAGTGTATTGGGTGTCCTCCTGTATTCCATTTGAGTCATGTGGTAGTGGCTGTTAGACTTGAATCCCTGTCATTAGTGTCTCACTTCCATCTGGTATTTACACAGCATCAAATATCACAAGACAACAGAAATGCCTTTAAGGTTCATTTTAACCGCAGCAAAGCCTTATCTTTATTCTTCACACAGTCCATGGCAATATGTTGACTCATCTTTTATTTATACATCTGCACTTGTAAGGATCGGAGACAAGTTCTGCTTGCAAAAAAATATTCCAGATTTAGTGCCGTATCAGCTTTGCATTACTCTAGTAAATTGTTTACATCAACCAAAAGAAGGATCTTTTCATGAGTAGCATCTTTTTACATTGCAAAATAAAATATTTTTACCACCCATGGAGGGTCTGCTTTGTTAAAAGCGGAAATGATTTGTCAATTACTAGGAAACACCTGCGGTACAAGGATGAATTTTGAGCCAGGGGAAAAGTGGTGGATGTGAGAGCTGGTAGTTTGAGCATTTTAACCCTTCCATGCATCCTGTAACCTGATAACATGATAAGCTGTCCACTGTAGTCACCGCTGTCCCTGAAAGGGTTAACTATCAGTGGTTTGGTACAATTTTGGTGTAACACTGGAACAAAAAAAATAATTGACTTGTGGAAGCCAAGTTAGAGGACAGACGTTCAGACCTTTACAGGAAAGCAAATAACAAAGTGATTCATTATATATGTCCTGTTACCTTCAACACTGAGGTGTTTCTAATTGTATTTCGATTGTGAAAAAAAGCAGCCATTGGCCTTGCAGCAAAAGAGTATATTTACACCATGCTCTGCCGTGTTCTTTGCTTAAGATCCCCAAGGACATTTTTCCCCTGTTAATGAAAGTTTAGAGCAATAATAAATTGCATTGAGCTATGTAACTAGCAGGAAAAAAAATAAAAAATAAAACTATCTTGGCAAATCAGTAACTGGTGATCCTATTCAGCTTTGCTGAATATTTCTTTTATATTGTTTTCATTTTATATTTAATTTGGTGTCTATCAAGAAAAATACCGTGCCGTGTGAAAGGCTTCTAGCTGCATTTAAACTATGTGTTGTCATGTGGTTGTTTTTGTTCAATTTTGAAATGATTGATTCATATCTGGGAATGGGCCCATACATCAAATGAAAAGAGTCATTTGGGGGTTGCCTTACACCCACATTCATGAATCCAACACGAATCCCAATGTTAAGGAGAGCCAACCAGAGTTATAAGTGGTTGCTAACCGATTAGGCTTACAGTGGCAGAACATATTTCTGACTTAAAAGCGTGTCAACCAGCGTTCAGCTCTGAGGGCACCACTGATCTTTAGTATGTGACGTGAACAAGTAACTCACTGAATAACCTCCAATTTAAAAAGCAATATGACTATTATGTATACAGTATTATGTTAATGTTCTGATGCAAGTGTTCATGTTTTTAAAAATGTCAAAAGATTTGTATCTTAGTGCTGTGTGTGTGGCACTCTGGCCGGCAATATCTTTAATAATCTGGGTATCATTTATTTTAAATATGCTCATTGTGTGTTTGTAATGGACACAAATCCACTCATGATGAACTGCATTATGCCCTATAAAACTAATTTGGATTAATTTATAGACGCTTGGTCCATTTGGCATAACCAATAGCAGTGCTCGGTGTTGAGAATGCCTCTCCCTCCCCAGGCTCCCCATAAAACACAAGTCACAGAGCACGCCATTCTTCAAATTAATCAAAGGTACACAACCAATTCCCTCATCACTCCTGTCTAACACCTTTTAATCACGGACTCTGGACTTTTTTGGTCTTTTGGTAAAACACTGGCATTCTTTCAGACAGTCGTGTCTTCAGATGAATACCGCGGAGTGAGTGGGGTGCCCCGCCTGTGGGCCAGCATGAGCCAAGTAACGACTTGAGGTGCTTTTCGTGGACAGAAGAAATCACTTACGCTGCTGTTCTGACCAGACCAGTGTACCATAGCTTGGTTGTGAGATGAATCCCCGGTCAAAGCGAAGGTAGAGCTGTTAAGTTTGAGCTCGTCCTGTCTGGAGCCGCCTGCTCTCCTCTCCTCGCCGTTCCAGCGCAGTTCAGAGCGCGTCACTCTGGTTCCGGAACGCGGACTCGGGCGACCAACACTGCGGTCGTCGGTGCTCCTTCTGCCGCGCGTTCTGTGCGCTCCGCCACTTCCGTGGTACCGTGAAATGTTGCCCATGGAAAAGAGGTTTTCGTCGACTTCATCATTTGAGCGCAGCGTTTTTGTATTCCGTGTCAGATTTGACGCGTCTGTCCGATCTGGAGCGCGTTCACGGGTAAAAGATGTGCGGCGGAGCCTGGGAGTTCCGACACTTGCAGCCCGGGATCTCTCAGCCTCAATGCTGTGTCCGTCAACTTCTTTAAATGCTGTCACACTTTCACTTGTGACAAATTTCAGCAATAACTCCCGGGCATAACCCACATTTCCAACCTGACATGACCTGCACGTTATCTCAGGGCTGGCGCCTTGCAATATCAAGAAAATCATTAACATTTCACACCAAAGCGCACCGTGCCACTTTGAACAAAATAGCATCTCCCTTTCCATTGTTGACGGCAGAAAAATGCTGCTGCAATGAATCGCACCTGCGCTCTGCCTTTTCTCTCTCCTCTCGGTAGTTGAAGATGCAAAGCGCTGCCCAAGTTGTGGCGTTGTCGGATTGCAGTGTGCTAAAAAGTGCGACGGAGTCAAACTGATCCAAGTTGAAGAATTTGATCATTTGAAGCCACACACGCAGGGGGGAGGAGCTGCGGATCCACCGAAGAAGGATAATGTCCCCACTGTCTTGCTCCGTGTGTCCACTCAATATCCTACACTCAAAGGATTTCTGTCTGTTGCGCTTTTATTTCTTACCGGAGATTATAATTGTTTTTATTATCGAATCCATGCATTTAAAATGTCCGTTTTACCCAGTCTCTAACAGTAATGATCATTTAAATGCATATGCTATACTTATGGATAACTTGTGGATATTCTTATTACAGTATATCATTATTATGTCATTGTTTAGCATTTAGAATTATTATAGACCATTTTTGCAATTTGCAAATGGAATGTACAGGACTATAATACACACACACACACACACACACACACACACACACACACACACACACACACACACACCACACACACACACACACACAATATCATATCCATCCATTTTCTGAACTGCTTTATCCTCACAAAGGTTGTGGGGTGTGCTGGAGCATATTCCAGCTGTCTTTGGGCAATATGCGAGGGACACCCTGAACCAGTTGCCAGTTAATCGCAGGGCACACTTAGACGAACAACCATCCGCACTCACATCTCGGGCCAATCTAGAGTGTTCCATTAACCTGCCACGCATGTTTTTGGAATGTGGGAGAAAACCGGAGCACCCAGAGAAACCCCACGCAGGCACGGAGAGAAGAACCAGTCATTCAAATGAAAATTCACGTTACCGGTACTTCAAAATAATGTCAGCGTATAAATAATTTTGAGCTTCCTCATTGTTTTTATTAGGACTATGTACAGTACATAAATAAATGAGAAGAGGCATTATATTCTATATTTTTTATTTCATTACAGAATTTTATAATTCAATATTTTTGTACATCCTGTATTTATTTTGTATATGCAGTATTAGATTAATATTTTTCTCATTATTTCAAAATTACATATAGGAATTTGTAACTTCCCCTGTGTTTTAAAATAAGTGGTGATACATCAAAATAAGGGCATGAAAATAGATGTTTCTGAATTGTGACCAACAGTATAGTTTTGCTTCGATAAATAAATAGAAGTTTGACGACATTGGCGTGTCAGCTGTTAGTCCTAAAGATAACAAAGTTGTCCGTGCTTATTATGTATGCATCAAACAAACACTGCAGTAAGCTGAAACAGTCAGATGAATATTTTAATGTCTCTACGCACACATAAGATGTCGGCGGATGCACTTGACAAGCACCCAACGTGTCTCAGACTACAGGAGTCAGTGTAACTAGTGCAAACAACATGGCTGGAAGCTCACCCCTTTGTCTTGCAGCTTTCTGCCTAATGACTGGTGGTCGTGACTAGTGATTGCTGCTGAGCGTTTAGTTGCACAGACGGAAATAAACATTGCCACAGACTTCCTTCGCAGCTGACTGCTCTCTAGTTCACAGCAAAAGATGCTGTCAAGCAGGAATACATAGCAAAGACTGACTCAACATGTGACTGATAGAACACCTGGAAAGCATTTCTAAAGATACAGTGTATGGAATTGAGACTCTGTGAATCCATGAGAGACCATGAATCTCGATTTGAATTGCAATACTCAGTCCAAAATAGTTTGAGGGCTAAAGAAGAACAACATGACCTCAGCTGTACACATCAGCCATGCGTATCATTACAATGGCAGAAATCTTCCAGGGTGCATTAGTCTTCTCAATATAACACTGGCATTGGACCACGAATGTAGCACATTCAGAAAAAAATGATTCTCCTCATTTGCAATGATTTATAACTGATGGAAAGCAAAATAAATTCACCCAAGGACCACAAGTTATCATGCATCAGATGCAGGTAAAACTATGCAACATTTACTCACTTGCATTTACACAAATTACTTTTTGCATGACTTATACTGATCAGAGTAGTTTTAATGCAACAAACATACTTTTTACTTTGATTCAAGTATTTTGTCAAAAAGCAATACCTAATAATAATAACAATAATTATTAATAATAATAATAATTATTATTATTATTAATACTATAGTAGCTATTTTTGTGTTGTGAAATCTAATGTTGAGTAGCTGTATCGCTAAGACATTAAAAACATCAAGAAGCAGCGGTGTGAATTTTGTCGGTTGGCCAGTCTTATTTGCAACAGCCAATCAGGCCCTGACTGAAAATGTAAGCGCTACATTTCTGTGTGACATTTTTCAAAGTGAATGTGCAAGGCATTTTGCATGCGTGCGTGCGTGTGTGTGTGGCATTGTGTAATGATGCAAGACATGTCCGCAAAATACTCCGTAAGGACCGCCATGAGATCCTTGCTAACTGGGCAAACCACTTTGAAAGTCTTCTGAACCACATCAACCCTGTCAACCCACACATTCTGGATAATCTCCCAGACCTGCCACCAATCATGAGCCTCGACACCCCACCATCTTATTCTGAAACCCGGCAAGCCATTGTGGGCTTAAAGAATAACAAAAGCGCTGGACCTGATGGCATCCCTGCAGAGGTTTTCAAACACGGAGGTTATCTCCTCACGCACCGTCTGCACTTCCTGATTCAAAAGATCTGGGAAAATGGGACCCTCCCACAGGATTGGAAGGATGCTAACATCATTGTTGTTTCCAAGCAGAAAGGGGACAGAGCAGCCTGCGGGAATAGCCGGGGAATCTCTCTTCCTCTCCACCGCAGGAAAAATGTTGGCCAAAATCATGCTCGGCAGGCTGGTCAAGCACATCTCAGAAGCTGTGCTTCCGGAAACTCAGTGGGGCTTCCGAAAGACTAGATCCACCAATTACATGAAATTTGTTTTAAAGGCAGCTAATGGAGAAGAGCAGAGAACATCACAAGGATCGCTAGCTTCATCAATCTCAGTGAAGCCTTCGACACCATCAACCGTGAGTTGCTCTGGAAACACCTCTCCAAACTTGGGAGTACCACCCAAGTTTCTCTGCATCTTCCAGCAGCTGCACGATGGGATGCAAGCCAGAGTGCTCATCGGAGAACTCCAGTCAGAGCTCTTTAAGGTGAGCGCTGGCATGAAACAGGGCTGTGTCTTAGCTCCAGTGCTCTTTAACGTCCTCCTCTCTGCTGTCACATGCCTTTTCCACCGTAGCATGGGACATGAAGATGGTGTTCATGTGGAGTACCGCCTCAATGGAAACCTCGTCAACATCAGATGGCTCCAGGCCCAGAAAAAGACAAAAATCTGTCACATCTGTGAGCTTCAGTTTGCTGATGACTGCGCTGTCAGTATGCTGATGACGAGCTCACAGCTCAGACCCTATGCAGCACGCTCTCAATGCCATTTCCAGTTTGTACCAATCCTTTGGTCTTCAGATCAACATTAAAAAAACTGAGGTCATGTTCCAACTAGCTACCCCAACTTCCACATCACCCAGCTTTCACATTAATGGCATTCCACTAAACACAGTGGATCACTTCACCTACCTTGGCTCCACTTTGTCCTCAAACTGCTCCCTTGACACTGAAGTGCACAGCCGGATCAATAAAGCCTTATCAACCTTTGGTCGCCTACGCAGCAGGGTCTTCGAAAATCGAAACCTGAAGATCAGCACCAAGATTGCCGTGTAAAACGCAGTATGTCTCTCCACTCTCCTCTATGGGGCAGAGTCATGGACCCCATACCGCCAGCACATTACTTCCCTGGGGGCCTTCCACATCCACTGCCTGCAGAAGATCCTTGGCCTGTCCTGGGAAGATCGAGTTCCCCATACAATGTGTGCGTGTGTGTTTGTGTGTGTGTGTGTGTGTGTGTGTGTGTGTGTGTGTGTGCACGAAAAGACGCACTGGATTATGAGGCGCACCTTCAATGAATGGCTATTTTGTAAATTTTTTTCATATATTAGACGCCTCGGACTAAAAGGCGCAATCTACAATGCGTCCACGAGATGGTGCTACGCTCCTTCCATTCAACTCGAGAGGCGTCCGTTCAACTTGAGAGGCGTTCAGGACCGCCTCTGAAAAATGTAAATTAACTATTACTGGACTTAAATGAAACTACGAAAATTGAAAATAATGCATCAAAACAGAAAATCAAGCGAGGAAAGCACAAAATAAATTTTATATCTCCCCTACAGAATTTATTTTGTGATTTCCTCGCTTGATTTTCTTCGTTGTTTCATTGAAGTAAGAATTAATTTACGTTTTTCGTAGGCGGCCGTGAAACGCCTCTCGAGTGGAACGGAAGAAAGCACGGAGACGGACAAGGACGTACAGTACCTGGACTTGCTGAGACTGTGAAAACCATTAATAAAGTCTGCGTTTAAAAAAATAATAAAACCACAACCACAGCTCTCATTTTTTCAACAAACTCAGGTGTGTCTTTGTCCGTCTCCTTTCCTTCTTTTCTTCCGGTCAACTTGAGAGGCGTTCATGACCTCCTCCGAAAGACCCACTGGCATTTCCTTTATCAAAGCTCCAAGAGTCCAATCAGATAAGATAAAATAAGAAAGCCCAGTGGCGGACCCTCAGGGCCAGCAAGGCCTTCTCTGCTGGCCTAAACATTCTCACAAAAGTAAATTTACTTTTATGTATTTTATGTTATTTTATAATTTGTTATTTTATTTTCATAAATATGTAAACAAAATTATTCTCTGTATTCTTGACGTCATATTATTTCCACTTAGTTGAGTGGCTTTCAATGTTATTTTAAATAACATTGAAAGCCACTCGATAACTTATTTATTGTGGTACAGTTTTTAACCAATCATATTTCAGCTAGCTTGTGTTGCCAGGTAAATTAAACTTGCTCGGGGCCTTCAGATTAAACAGAGCAGGCCCCTGTGCGCTGTAAGTGAACGGGCACAGTCAGGTT